GATACACAGTGCAACCACCAGCTTACGCTATAGACGAGTAAGCCTCGATTTACCTGGTTTTGGTGGATCCCGCTGGTGACGACTTCTCAATAAAAAAACCCTGTAACTTCCTGCATTGAGTCATTCATACATTCTTTATAAGGACGTCTTAGTCGGAACTCATGAGTATTTATGTAGTGAGATGATGATTGAAGGGATAGGTCGCATCAGGTTTTTCATTGACGTCTTCTAATTTCGAGTCAATGATTTTCGTAACCCCCTAACGGCTAAATATATGTTTTTCAAAAATTCCACTCGATTCGATTATTATTATTGTTATTATTTTCAGTTAACCCGCGCTCCCTTTTACCGCGCCTTATTTTATTCAAGAAATTTATTATTTGCTTGTCAGCCTTTAACTGTGTAAAAATTGCTTTGAGGTTTTTTTCGTGTTGTCTAGTTTTGTCTAACTGCAGTCTAACAGTTTCTTTCTCCATCATAAAAATGCATCACGCTACAATACTGCTGATCGACTGATCGACTAATTGATTGATTGATTGAGTAGTACTCACACATCAATCGATCATGAATTATTGCGCCAAATTGCCCATCTAATTTAATTTAACTTAATTTATCATTTTCAACTCAGTGTTTTCATTGTTGTTGTTTTTTTTCTGGTGTTATAAAATCGTCTTCATGATTATTATTATTATTTTTTAAGGTTGAATGTGTTATATTTATTTCGATTTAATTTTTTTAAAATTTTGATTACAGCTTGATGCCACACCGTATTTTCAGTACAAGTATGGAATTTTCAGCATGGATATCGGTAGCCCAAATTTTGCAGGCCGACCATAGATATCGGGTGTGCGTCGGTGGCACAGTGGTTAGGACTCTCGCCGACCATGCACATGGTCCGGGGTTCGATCCCCTGCCGACGCACACCCGATATCTATGGTCGGCCTGCAAAATTTGGGCTACCGATATCACATGCTGAAAATTCCATACTTGTACTAAAAATACGGTGTGGCATCAAGTTGTAGTCAAAATTTAAAAAATATTATTATTATTTATTGTTATTATTATCATTGTCTCATCATTCTTGATATTACTTTAATTTGCTTTCATGAATTCGCATAATTTATATGTTATATGATATGATGTGTGCAAAGTAGGTTGGTTATGTTTTTCATAGTTTAATTTTTATTACATTTACAATTACTTCACATTGAGTGAACGATTCGACCCCAGAGTTTCTGATTTGATTGCTTTTGTACTTGAACCTGGCTAGTAAATACACTGATAAATTGGATGGGAATATATGTATATGGGCGTGTGTGGGTGTGGCGTGGTGTAGGGAGATGTGTGAGTGTGTGGGGTGTTTTGTTGAAAACCTGGGCTCGTCCGGGATTCGAACCCGGGACCACTCGCATCCTAAGCGAGTATCATACCCCTTGACCAACCAGCCACCAAATTCGCCGCCAACACACACTTCTCATCACATCCTCGACAAAACATACACAACATCTTATCACAACGCACACACACTCACTCACACTATCACTCACAAATTACCAACACACAATTCATACACTCCACATTCACACAGGCCACTGTCTCTCTCGTACTACAATCCATCCCAACATTATTTCACAAATTCATTCACACACCGAATCTATTCCGATGTCCACCACACTCACTGCACGCTCACAATACAAATCCCTCTGTCAACATCATCACAAATGAAAGTCAAGTCGGGCCAGATTGCTGAACGAAACGTTGGAATTAGTCATTTCAATTCCGCTGAGATTTTATAAATTTAATTTTATAAATATATATATGGAATGTTTCAAACCTCTATTAATCACATTCAACAGCTGGATGGTGGTGTCATCTGCCTGGTGATTCATAACTGATTCATAACTCAAAGATGTCTTTGAAATGATGAGAGGCGTAAGACAAAACGATGATAATCCTGATTGAGACGGACTGACTCATGCGGTGATCATGGAGAGTGGGCTGACAAAAAGACTCTGTGAGCTCCCGACTTTGTTGACGAGATCTGTGACCGATGTCACATAAACTCGAAGATCTACACAGGCGAAAGATTAGCAAAGATCAGTCAAAGAAACAGCGAAGACAGGATTTCCAGTGAACATATGGAGAAGATGGAGGTGATGAAGATAACCAACTAAACAACAACAACCAGCGCCAGTCAATGTCAGCGGGAGAGAAATTTGATGGCAATCACTTATTTCACTCATCCTAGCAGTATCATTTCAAGTACAGGCGGACAGCACAGATGAGGATGTCAAAGTTAGTTAGGAATAGGAAAGGCAAGATAGATAGATAGACCTTCAATGACCTAAGATCAGTTTGGGAACTTATCGCGCTCATCATAAAGAGCAAGAATAGAATTTTCAACGCTAATGTTAATTCAGTTAGTTTTTTCCGTATGGTTTAGAGAATTGGCGTGCGTGCGCGCATTTTGAACAGGTAATCCTAAAGTTTTATCAACAGTGTTGCCTTCATTGAATTCATACTGAAGATCAGGGGATCAACAACTGGAAACTTTGTCAATGAACCAATACAGAACCTTGTTGCTCAACAGTGTTATGCAGAAGGAAATGAATATGAATCGGACAGACGCTGACGTCACATATATATATGGTAAACACTCTCTCAATTGGAACCTGACTGCCGAAACAGGGGGGAGTTAACACATGCAGGAGATCGTTGAGGAAGAAAAGATGACAAATCAGGAAAGAGAAGCCAGAAAAAGAGAATTGTCGAGAACAAGATGTATTGGCGGTGTATTGTTGAAGTCTTATATATGTAAAAAGACAGTTAGTTCATTGATAGGGAGTCTTTATTTTCATTTTTAAAACATATTTTCTGTGTGTTGAAGTTTCTCTAGCGATTTGAAAGATTTACTGGTATGGGGTTGCTAGCCCAATGCCCCCCCCCCAACTCTTCCTTTTTACCCGGGCTTGGGACCGGCTAGAAAAAGTGCATACAGGAGTAAGACAAGACTGGCTGCTTGTTATCACTGATGAGATTCTTAATTGTGGTGGACTTGATTGATTATGCGTCAGACTGTGCGTTGGGGGGGGGGGGCTAGGAGTCAGGAATACACTGGACGACCGATAAGAAGACACCCTAAAAGATCTGGATTTCGCATGTGGATGATTTATGCCTAATGTCAAACAAACTAGAAGACTTGCAGGAAGACGGAAACTAACAAACTGGTTGAAGAGGCTGACAGCGAAGACAGGACTGCAGGTGAACACACAGAGAAGACGGAGGTGATGAAGATCGTCAACGAACCGCTACAACAACAACAGTAACCAGCACCAATCACCACCAGTAGGAGAGATTTGACAGAGATTGCCTCCTTCACTTATCCGAATAGGCAGCATCATTTCAACTGCAGGTGGAACGGACGAAGACGTCAACGCCAGCCAGAATCGGAAAGCCAAGATACGCTTTCATCAACCTAAAATCAGTTTGGAAATCTTTTGCACTGCAGTCAGCATAAGGAACAAGATTCTCATTTTCAACACAAATGTCAAGTCGGTCGTTCTATACAGGTGAGAAACTTGCACTGCGTGTAAGTCACGAAAAGGATTTCCAACAGCCAGTTGCACACCTTCATCAACAGCTGCCACATTCGCTGGCTGGCTCCATAATGTGAAGATCAAATGGTTGGTTGGCCAGAAAAAATAAACAACAAGAAAGTCTGCAGTGGAACAAACCAACAGGCAAGAAAGCCGATCGCTCAACAAATATATATATGGGAGAAAATGAAGATGAATTGATCAGGCATACATTGAGGAGGCCGCCGAATGACATTGCACTCAATGCAATGCAGGCCATCGGTCGAGTGGAATCCAAATGGGAAGCGACGGACGAGTGGGTCGTCAATGCGAGGGTGATATGGAGGAGATCGTACGGCGCGGAGGAGATGAGAGATCATGAGCAATCGTGGACCTAGCTGAAGAGGATAGTTAAGTAACTTTTACAAATAGTGGTAAATGCCTACCCTGCAATCTATATTAGATAGACCAACCATTCAGTCGATGAAATTGAACACTCAGATGAATAAATAGGTCAGTAGATGAAATATCTCCAAAAATAGGCAAATTCTTCAAGTGTCTATTTCCTACAGGATGATATTGTGACTACCAACCAACCATTAAGTGTCAGTGTCTACATAACACTGTCGTGTGCATCATTAGTGGTTCAGCCGCAGGAAGCTCACCAACGACGCTTGTGGTCCGGGGTTCGATCCCTGGCCAACACACTTCCTAAGCCTCGATAAGCCGATAGTAAATCCAGTAACCACTGCTGCTGAAACTTCGAAGCTCTCTAGCTGTGAAGCCCCCCCCCTATGTTCCACCACTGGGAACGCAAAGGAATAGAATAAAAAAAATAGAAACTATAACACTGTCGTTTGACGGTGTGTAGTGTAAAATGTCAACCTCCTGTTGTGTAGTCAACTGCTACACACTATTGCATAACTCTCCGCCACCCACCCACCCCCACCACTAGCCATTGGTTTACACTATTGATTATCTCAAAGCAAATCAGACTGTGTGATAGTGTGATAAGTATATATTATATCAACTGGAGAGTAGTAGTAGGCGAAATATTCTTTAAAAATGTGACATCTGTGAACTACTAATAACTCTCTCTCTCAGAATAATAACCTGTATTACATTGCAGTTGCTGCATCATACTTTGGTTGAAAGCAATAAGCAAGGAGCTCATTCTACCTACGTATTCCTTCAAACTAGCCACCAGCATGAGAGTGTTCTGTTTGTTTCTTGATGTGTTGGTGTCTTTTTAATGCAGAAAGTCACACACACACACTTGTAAATACAACATTCCATGGGTGCTTTCCCTCCCGCTCTCTCCATCTAAGAATGTACAAATATTTGTCTGTTTTTGAATTTCTTCCCGTCTTCCGTTTAAAAGAACAAACGATTTATTTATGCATTGATTTGCTTTTCATTTCACAGTCATTAACTCCATCATATCGATCTAAATTGGATCAATTTCGACGTATTTTTCGCGGTACTCCTGTCGACACTGATCGTTTACTTGTCGGTATGTTTTTGTTTGAAATATATATATATATGTATTTTTAATATATTTATGCGTTGAGGAACGGACGAGGATGTCAAATCGAGAATCAGGAAGGCGAGAAACACATTCATCAACCTGAAACCAATCTGGAAATCTTCGTCACTCAGCCTGCATCAACAACAAAATTCGGATTTTCAATACAAACGTCAAGTCAGTCAGTTCTTCTATACGGATCTCAAAGAATATTTCCAACAGCCTGTTGCACACCTTTATCAACAACAACTGTCTTCGCTCTATACTGAAGATCAGATGGCCGGAAAGAACAAGAACCAACAAGAAACTATGGGAAGAAACAAAACAAGAACCAATCGCCCAACAAATATGCAGGAGAAAGTGGAGATGGATTGGACACTCACTCGCTGAGGAGGCCGCTGGTTGACATCGCGTGTCAGGCCAGTGCTCGAGTGGAACCTGAAAGGGAAGCGGCGAGTGGGACGTCCAAGGGTGACATGGAGGAGATCGTGTGAAGAGGAGCTGAAACAGTATGGACTAACATGGATGCAAGTGAAAAGTACAGCAGAAGACAGAAGCAAGTGGAGACGTGTAGTTGAAGCCCTATGTTCCACTAGGAACCCAAGGGAACAATAATAATAATATATGTGTATACTTAAACATGTAGTTAGTACTGATGACAAAAGATACCCAGAGGTATTATTCAGTACTTACAGGAATAGTCAACGAAAGATGTTATCTGGTGTTGTGTGTATATATATGTATATTTTTTTATTGATTAAGTGTGTGATCTAGTTCAAAAAATGTTATTTAATCAATACGATTGTTATATAATATTGAGATTAGACGTATAGAGTACTAGGTAGGTAAGGGAAGTCAATCGGTGGTGTTGTGAAGCTACATCGGCTGAGATGGCTAAGGTACGTGTACCTACCTCCTCCTCATGCTTAGGCATCTCCTTCCTCGTCGATCAATGTTAGTTTTTTGCACAGGATAACGTTGAAAAAGAGTAAGTGCGGTAGTCAAATCGAAACCTGGGATCAATCAGTGAAGTCATCGGTAGTTGGTTTGAGACAGCTACATGGGAAGGCATATTCTGGCTGACTGGTGTCCTTGGGAGGCTGAGAATCAATGGCTGGAAATGGTTGGTAATATGTGGCTCAGATGCATCCTCATGTGTTTCCATGGTAATATTCTTTCTCCCGTACATTTCTGCTCAGTGTAGTTGCTCTGAATTTCTTTTTTCTGCTTTTTCTTCAGCGTTGTGTGGTATATATAAAGTGTGAAAACTTGAACTGCTGTAATTGTGTGCAGAGTTCTAGGTGTTTAAGGACAGTTTACTGTCTGTGTTCACTAAGGTACTAGGAAGCGTTTGCGAATCAGAGGAAGTCCCGTCGAGTTGGTGTAAGTCATTGATTATCCCAATATACAAGAAAGGAGACAAGTCTTCCTGTGATAATCACAGGGGGATTAACCTCACCAATATGGTATCAAAAGTCCTAGGTTCAATAATAATGCGTTGACTAAGTGGTGTTCAGGAGAAACAAACACGAGAGAACGAGGCAGGCTTTAGACCAGGAGGAGGGTGTATTGATCATATCTTCACCCTTCGACAGATTCTGGAAGGGAACATAGGCATTCTAACTGCCGGCGTCCAACAATCGTTATACTTCTTGACCTAAAGGTAGCATTCGATTCTGTCAACCGAGAGGTTCTCTGGCGATGCTTAGCTGTGGCGGGAAATCCGAGAAAATACGTTGCTCTGATCAAGGCACTCTACTGGAAGTCATGCAGTCAGTTAGGTGAGAGCTTACGTCGAGTTGTCATCTGAAGTGGTGACTACTAGTGGTGTCCATCAGGGATACCAACTCACTATCCGCAGTTCTATTCAATTTCATCATAGATGTACTAATGGAATTAACCTTAACTGCTGACTTCAGCGACTGAGGGATTGACTTGTTACTAGGGGATGATCTCGTTGACTTGGAATATGCAGGTGATATAGTCCTCTCTCTGATGTGAAAACGCTGACAAAATGCAGAGTCTCCTGAACACCTTGAGCTGCAATCTACAAATGTTTGGCATGTGGTGGTCAAACGAAAACATGCTCTCATCGATCAATGAAATCCGTAACAGTTAGTTTTAAGCCAGACATGTAGAGAGGGAGGTGTAGACTTCCTGACTGGTCGGAGTCCTTGGGATAGTAAGAACGAATGAAGGCTGGAGACAATTGGTAATAGGGCTCATAATCTTCGTTCTCAATGGCTGGCGCAGATGCATCCACTCTTTGTGATTTGTCATATCCAACGAAACTATATTGTTCTTCCATATTACTATTCTTTTTCCCTCACACTTCTGTTTGTTATCTTTGTTAGGAAACTGTCTCTATTCTCTTCTCTTGCTTTGTGTGGTACATGGAGGGAGTGTGCGACTGAAACTGGTGGACATCTGTGCAAAGTTTTACATTTACTAGTTTGACATAGCAGGAATTTGGGTGGAATTTAAACCTACAAATTTATTCAGGAATTAGCTGTGTAGGCCCACTACGCTGGTGCCATACTGAAGACCGAATGACCAGTCGGCCAGAAAGGATTGACATCAACAAACTCTGGCTGGCTGGGAACAAATCAACCGAGTAAGAGCCGGATTGTTCAACACCCTGAGGCGGCCGTCGAATGACATCGCGCTCATTGCAGGCAATCGCTCTAGTGGAATCCCAATGGGAAGCGATGAGTGGGGTCGTCGGTCGTGTGGTGAGGAGGAGGAAATGAGAGATTATAGGCAGTCGTGGAACTAGCCATCTGAAGAGGAAGTAATAGTAATAATGTGGAACTCAAGACTTCCTGTTGTTGTTGTTGCATAGTTAGTGTTTACTGATAATTCTGTGTCTGTTGCTATGGTATTTCAAGAAGATTTAAGAATCCTTTGAATTGATCAGCCTAGTGTGGTTACTGTGTTTCACCTCTTGGGTATTTTTTTCTTTATTTACCTTCTATATGTGTATACTCTTCAACTGGAAATAGAGTTCAGAGTTTTATTTGATAAAAATTTAAATATATTTTAGCTAATAATCCAGTAATTCTAAATATTCATGACCATATATTATTGATTGATTTATTGATTGATCGATCGATCGATTAATTCAATGCTCTTTCTGTCGAATGCACTCTTTAGTGCCTTTCAAATATATACCATGTATAGTGACTTATCAGCAATAAATAGTAATAATAACAGTAAATAGTTTGTGGTATAACTTGTAAGAAATAAACTTTTATTGACTAACATGATTCTTTTAAGCAATTCACTGTCATTTACACGCACACACGCACACGCATACAAACCAACAAACAAACAAACGTACAGGAGAGTTATTTATTATAAAGGGATACTGTTTATCTCTGTTGTGTGTGTGTGTATATGGGCTGATTTGGTAGTAGCCTTTGTCAATAGTGGCGTGATATTTCATATTACTATTTTTATTATTTGTTCTGTATATATCACAAGGTCTGTTTTCTTTTCTTTTTTATTTGTTTTACTGGGTCAGCCATATTCTTTAGTTGATTGATTAAAACAAATTTGTTCAATGTTTCAATATTCATTATATAGAGGCATATCTATATCTATGTGTGCATATTTCACTAATTTTCTTTTTTTTATGATCATTCTTTATTTTCTGATAAATTTTCTCAACTTATCATTGTTCTCTTCTCTAGATTATTCGTGTGCATTATCTAAGAATAATAATGGTCTGTTACTTCAAGGTCGAATGTATATCACTGAGACATGGGTATGCTTTTACTCGAAAATACTCTATGAACAAAAGGTAAGCAGTAAAAGTCTCTGTGATTGTGTCCAAGCGTGTGTGTGCTTGTAACACACTATCGAACGATATTTTTGTGTTGTGTTTTAGAGATATACAGAGAGAGTATGTGTGTTTGTGTGTCTGGGGTGATTGTGAAGGTGAAGCGAAATCGTCAGCTGTGATATCAGTTAGAGAGAACCGTAAGAAAACCAGCAGGGAGTGTGTAGTCGACAGTTGTTTCAGCTTAGTTTGTGACTAAGCCCCCCATCAGGGTTTGAATGAACCTTGGATCTTACTGGTTAATACCCCCAGTTTTCCTCCAGTGGTTCCCTTATTGATGTCAGCTGGTTTTTCAAACTTATAACTAATTCGATTTGATGTGCTCACTAGTGACCACAGAGTCTATGTAAGAAGTCGTCTGGAGTTCTAGTGAAAAGTCGTTGTCCACCAATTCAATTCAAGTGGGAGGACATTTACTCGCCTATGATACTGACTGACTGATGGTTGCGCTATATAATAATAATAAGCTTTATTCCAAAACAGTACTTGTGATACAGAATGGAATTCTCAGCATTTTATTTTACTACAGTATTGCATCCAGTTAGTAGTACATTACCAATAAATAGAATAGAATTCTACATAGATTAAGGAAATCTCAGTTCATTATGACAACAACATTTAGGCATGTTGGTAGCAAAGGTAAAGCTGAACAGTGTTTGAAGGTGTTAGAAAAGTAGGAGCTGTCATATTTACTGGCGTAAGTGAGAGAAAGAAACAAAGCAGCACATAACGGAAAAAAAGAAGAAAAAGAGAGAGCGAAAAGGAAATGAAAGAAAGAAAACGTTGTACCTATAAATGATATGAGTTGGAAAGACGAGATCCAGTTGTTCTACTGACTATTTAATGAATTATAGGTGTCACGCCTAATGCTTTCTTTATCACACAAAACACGAGCTAAGTAGGGTATGGTTGAGTTTTTGTACTTGCTGGTGCGAGCATATAGTTTTCTATATAGGCTTCTGGTCCTGTCTGATAAGATACAAGGGGAGAGTTGTGAATGAAGAGGGTGGTTAAGTTAGATAAAATAGATTTGGCCCATTTTTCACATGAGTCCATGTGCCTGTCGACCAGAATATTAACAAGCTGGTTAAGTGGCGTGTTGCTTACCCTGCTGACAGCCTTTAACATCCTGTGTAATATATATATA